TGAGTGCTGGGTTGCGAAGCCGCCTGCGGCCTCAGCGGCGCCGGTTCGATCCCCGGCTGCTCCCCGGCCACCAGAGGAGGGTCCCACATGGCGCGCAGACCTCTCCTGCCGCCCGCTGCTCCCCTCAGCAGTGTACTTCGGTCCTTCTGCCTGCTCTGCTCCCAGCTCTGGCTCTGGTGAATTCTCTCACCCTCCCGCGCTTCTGACTGTACCCAGTGCATGTATGAACAAAAAAACAAACAAACAAACAAATAAATAAATAAAACATGCCTCTATAAAATTAAAAAAAAAAACACAATTTAAAAAACAACAAAAAAAATTAAGCAGGGATTAAAATTGTAATTATTCAATATTTTTTAGTGCCAGTTAAAAATGTGACAATATGATGTCTCACCGATGAGAGTGACATAAATCCAAAACTTTGATCAGGTACTCTGTGGCCAGGTTGTGAGGAAATAGGCCAAGTTGTGGGCTGTGGAGGTGAAAAATAATGCAACCTCAACGATTAAACAGTAATTAGCTAACAGAGTAAATGATGGCTTTTGATTAGGCAATCCCACTTCTAGAAATTTATGCCAAAGATAATCTGGCAAAAATAAGAAAAGAAGTGTACAGTATTAAATTCAACATTATTTATAATAGCTATAGAATAGAAACAACTCAAATGTCTGTTAACAAAAGACTATGGTAACTCTGCAACTGAGCTGTGAAACTGCACTGAAGAATGTGCCACTCTGGAGTAACCCCCAAGAAAGACTTTTATGTGAATAACGCAAGGTGTAGGGCATGTGGATAGTACACTGTTATTGGAGAGAGGAGAGAGAGAGAAAGAGAATAATTCAAGAGTGATAACCTTTAGGGAGAGGGGAGAAATCAAGTGGAAAGGAAAGAAGTAGAAGATAAAGGACTTTGCATATACCTTGCTTTCCACAACTGATTTTGGGATAATTATAATTTCACATGATTACAACATAAAATTAAGTGAAAAACAAGTCATCCCTAAAATTAAAAAAAAAAAGAATTCTCATCATTTTCACAAAACAAAGATTCTTGAAAAACAGCAACAATATTTGGCTAAAATACAAAAAAGAAAAGAAAAGCTGTAAAAATGAGAATGAAAAACACCTACTCACAGCCCACAAGGCCACACATTTCCTATCCACTTTCCTTTCCTCAGACGAAGCCTCCCTCTAGTGGAGATCAGTGTCACAGCGAGTCCCCTGCATCCTGCACTCGGAGGGAAGCAATCCTTTGCCCATGGTCTTCTACCCCAGAAGTCTTAAGTCGCAGGGGTATTAGGGTCAAGAGCAGGAGATACTGAGCTCTGGGACAGCAGAAAGTCAAGAAGAGAATTCAGTTTTAAAAGGCAGTGGGGGCTTGAGATTTATGAGACACTGAAAAGCAGAGGGTTGGGGTGATGTAACTCAGAATGGGGAAGTAACTTCTAGAAAGATTCAAAACTGCCTTTTTCTTCCATTCTCTCAATCCCTGAGTATTGTCAGTTTTTCTTTAGACCAGGCCGATGAGTGGACACATAAGTCGTTATGCCTTCAATTTCCAGTTTCTTGACTACTGGCACCTTATCATGTGTTTATTGGCACATGGAATTTCTTTTCTATGAGTTGCCTATTCTTGTCCCGTGCTTCTATTGGTTTGTGTTTTTTTCTTATCAGTGTGTGGGTATTCTTTGTGTATTAGAGATCATCTTTATCAGTCATGTGTTGGAATTATTTCTTGTAGCATATTTCTAGTGTTTTTACTGTATGGTATCATGTGTCTTCATTTTCTTCAAAGGTAGTTAAATATGTCTCTCTCATTTATGGTGTCCCCATAGTTTTGCTATTCTTCCTTAAGATTTCCTCATATATTTTTGTGTTGATTGTTACATAAATGTATTTTTTTGCAATATAAAAAAAACCACCAAATTTTAAAACCCTGAAGCAGTAGCTTGAAGTTTTTATCCTTAGGTCCAATTCTATCATTTAGTTGTGACTTTGGATAAGTTGCCAAGCCTCTCATATGTCATTGTCTTAATTTTATAAGTGGAGAATAATAACACCTACTCTCCTACTTCACAGGGTTAGAGATAAAATCAGATTTTTTTTAAAGTAAAGATTTGAAAAGTATAATTGCTTCTTGGCCTTTTGGCTAAGATCAAGTGAAATTACAAAAATGTAAGGCATCATTATTATTATAATGTGTTTTCCCCCTTTAGTTGAAAGGTAAGGTGATAAATACGAAGATCACCAGATTAGGAAGTCATTTTCCAATCTTACACCACACCCTAGCCAGTATGCCTTTGAGCAACTTTTTAAGTTTCTGTGTTTCAGCTTTCTCATCCTGAAAATGAAAGGGTTGGTCTCCAAGTTCCCTTCCAGCTTTGATCTAAAAATATTATTCAGGGCCCTCCCTGGTGGTGCAGCGGGTTGAGCACAGCACTGTGAAGCTGTCCGCAGCCTCTGCAGCGTTGGTTGGATTCCAGGCTGGCCAGAGAGATTCCCGTATGGTGCTGCAGACCTCTGCTGTCTCTCTCCTGTCTCGCCCCTTGCTCCCCTCAGCAGTGCTTTCAGTCTGTCTGCCTGTTCTGCTCCCCACTCTTGTCTCTGGTGAATCCTCTCGCCCTCCCGCACCTCTGGCCTGTACCCCAGCTATTGTATAAATAAAATAAATAAATCTTTAAAATAAATAAATAAAAATAAAAATATTAATCAGAATATTATGTAAATATATGTATATTATGTAAATATATGTAAATATATATATGTACGTTGAAGATATATTCTTAGAATCAGGTATTTAATATACAACTTATATACATAAAAGGAGACTGGCTGGAAGATGTGGGAAGCACAGAAACTCACAAGGCACCTTCTGCAGCTTAGGTGGGGAAGATGGTAGACTTGAAGCTGGTAAAGGTGAAAGATGGTGGATTCAAAGAGGGTAAAGGTGAAGGAAATGGATAGCAGGTGAGAGGTTTAGGAGTCTCAACTGACGATTAGGCCTACCTGGAAAGAAGGGGACCTCAGATCCCCGAGGTGTCTGGCCTCTGAGATCTTACTGCTCTCAAATTGTTGGATTGGCTTGTTCCCGATGTCTTGTGGTACGGGACCTCCACTCCAATCTACCCTATAGTTCTCCCACTGTCTCACTTTAGAATCAGAAACTAGGCAATCCACCTTGTCTGTGGTAGGGCAGGGGTTCACATTCTCTAAGCAAAGTGCATTCTTTGTGGAACTGGCCTCAGTGATGCTGGTTTAGTATAGGATTTGTGTACAATACTTATATATGAACTGGACGTGAATCTATCTCCATCACTGGAATGCAGCCACAGGCATGTTTTCGTACAACTTTATTTCCTCATCTGTAACATTTTGATGACTATCTCAAAAGACAGTTTAAGAGACTTAGTCTGCTACAGAGTAAATGTAAGACAAATGTTATGATTAGAACATGTATATTAGCAAATTAAAGACTCCGAAACTATTTAATTAGAAAACTGCTGAACTCTGGTTGCGAAGCTGCCCGTAGCCTCTGCAGCGCCGGTTCGATCCCCGGCTGCTCCCCGGCCACCAGAGGAGGGTCCCACATGGCGCGCAGACCTCTCCTGCCGCCCGCTGCTCCCCTCAGCAGTGTACTTCGGTCCTTCTGCCTGCTCTGCTCCCCGCTCTGGCTCTGGTGAATTCTCTCATCCTCCCGCGCTTCTGACTGTACTCAGTGCTTGTATAAATTAAAATAAATAAATAAATAAATAAATAAATAAATAAATAAATAAATAAATAGATAAATAAAGCACAAATGTTTAAAAAAAAAAAAAAGAAAGAAAACTGCTGAACTCTGTTGAACCAGAATTTCGCTGGTTGGGAAAACGCCCATAGACCCTTTTAAACAGTGCACCTGTCAGTGGGATGAGAGGACTGCGGTGGAGACTGAGGAGCCACGGTGAGCGGGACCTGCTAGACTCACCCCACGCAGGAGTGGGAAGCGTCCAGGTCAGTGGAATCTCCATCTCCTGGGTCCAGCCGTGAACCCCCAGGGAGGATGCTCCGCCTTGCTTTTGGATCTCCCTACCCCGCCACCCGCTGAGGGGCTCGGGCCCGGGCGTGGGCGGGGCCCGGGCGTGTCGTGGGCGGGGCTATGACGACTGGGGGCGGGGCCAGCGGGCTCGTCGCGGGGAGGAGGCGGGGCCAGATTCCCGGGGGCGGGGAGAGCTGGAAACCCGGCGGGCGTGGGCGGGGGGGACAGCCCTGGAGTGCGCCGGTGATTTCTGGGCCCTTCTCGTGCGAGCACCAGCCGGGCTCTGGCCCCTGCTCCGGCGCCCGCGTCCGGCTTGCGGTTGCGGGGAGGGCTGCAGGGGGGAATGCCGCGTGCAGGCAGACGCCCTGAACCTGCGCCCTCCTGGGCTCGGCGCCCGCCTCCGCCCGCGGGGACCTCACCTGCAGGTCCGAGCCGGGCCTGGGGCTCCTGGCGCCTCCTGTGACTCCAGTGCCTCTGCACAGCCCGGCTGTGGGCCCGAGGGGCCTGCGGAATGGACGAAGGGGCCGGGGTAGACTGGACGCCCCAGGAGCAGGGAGGCCGAGTGACTACGTGTCGGATTAATTTTAGAAATGCACGGTTTTTTTAATCATAAATTGACCATATTATTTGTCTTCGAGGTGAAAATGTAATAATCTCGCTTTTACCTAGTAGATCTTCCTTCCTTTCATGAGACCTCTGTGTCCAGCAGAGGTGGTCTGCGTATGCACCCACAGCGTGGCCCTGCCTTCTTCATGTAAAGTTAGATACCTACACTTGCCTTTTCCAGTTGGTCTTCATGGTATTTTTCTTTTCTTTGTAAATGAGTTACTTTAGTCTTGCTAAAATTATCTACTACACAAAATTCTATTTAGAGAGAAAACAATTTAGCTTAATATACTGACTTGATTGAATAACATTGCAAAAGTGGCCGCATGCAATTAGCAAGGAGTTCTTAATCCACTAATTATTAATAATTCTAACAACACAAAAATACGGAACGCTTTACAAATTTGTGAATCATCCTCGAGTAGGGACCATGCTAATCTCCGTATCTTTCCAATTTTAGTATATGTGCTCCCTAAGCAAGCACTCATGGTATTTTCTTATTTTAAAAACATTTGACATTTTTAGAATCAGTAATATATAAACTAAATAAAAATTCAAACATTAAGGAAGTACAGACAAAGAAAACTACCTTTCCTTCAGCTCTACCCTCACTTCCTCATTCCCTTTCCCAGAAACAACCAGTTTCTCATATGCCCTTCATGGACATATATGTATTTATATATGCATTAATATATATTTCCTCATCCAAATACTGCTTATTATACACACTGCTCTTTACCTGAGTCTTTCTCAATAAGTAACATATCTTGGATACTTGGTTCCAAAGCAGGACAGTATACAAAATGAAGAGTGATTTAAAACACTCATTCTGGGCCTCCCCGGTGGCGCAGCGGTTGAGCGCTGGGTTGCGAAGCTGCCCGCGGCCTCTGCGGCGCCGGTTCGATCCCCGGCTGCTTCCCGGCCACCGGCGGAGGATCCCACATGGCGTGCAGACCTCTCCTGCCGCCCGCTGCTCCCCTCAGCAGTGTACTTCGGTCCTTCTGCCTGCTCTGCTCCCCGCTCTGGCTCTGGTGAATTCTCTCACCCTCCCGCGCTTCTGACTGTACCCAGTGCATGTATAGACAAAACAAACAAACAAACAAAATAAATAAATAAAACATGCCTCTATTAAAAAAAAAAAAAAAAAAAAAAAAAATAAAACACTCATTCTTTGCCTGGTTTTTATAACACTCTCAGCTTTTTGCAAATACAGACAGAGGAGCTGTGGATATATTTTTGTTTCATACAAAATTTTTAACAAGAAACTTAAAAATATGCATTTAATGAGTCCCAGAACAGACTTTGAAAAGGTTTTGTTCCCCCTGAGAAATGCTAAAAATATTTTACCAACTCTATAAAGGCAAACTTGACATAAAGTAAACTAGTCATATTTAAAGCATTCAAGTTGTTCAATTCTGACACATGTATAGACTAGTGAAATCATCCTCACAATCTAACACTGATTTGCCTGGTAGATACAGTAACTATACACATATAAAATGTTTTAATTTATTTTAAATTCAAATGGCTTTATTTTTAAGAAATTCTTTTAAACTCAAAAGAAAATAATTTTACATCAAAGAAAATATTTTTATATAAGGTAAATCCATTCATCTTTTTACCAATGCAACTAGAAACTCTTTTATATTGCTAGTTTTTAAAAGGTTTTTAATACTTACAACATAATTAAGTATTGACCTTCAGGCATAAAGGTCAAAGTGCATAGGGCCAATGAAAGTCATACTGTAATCCTGCCACAATTAAGAGAATGAACATGTCCCTTGCCCCCCAAATTTCTTGGAGCCCCTTTCTAATTCTTATTGCCTGCTATTTTTTTCCCCCTTCTCAAGTAACCATTGATTTGCTTTCTTGTTGGAGGTGGCCACCCTGCGTAATGAGCAAAAGGGCCTTGACCCGAGTCTCTTAGGCATGTGAAAACACATGCGTCTCGGAGGAAAACCTCTGAGTGACAGGACTTGGTGCTGAGAACCTGGAAAGTGACCTGTGTGGAGTCAGGCTTCTACATCTCCACAGTCTGAGAATAACAAAATGGAGAGATCCTGCGCAGTGAGCAGAAGGGCCTTGACCTGAGTCCCTAAGGCATGTGAAAACACATGCGTCTCGGAGGAAAACCTCTGGGTGACAGGACTTGGTGTTGAGAGCCTGGAAGTGAACTGCATACATCTCCACAGTTTGACAACAACAAAATAATGAGCGAACTTCCCAGGCTCTGGCTAGGAGGCGATAAGATTATGTGTGTTAGAACTAACGGCCTGGTACCCTACTGTCTGAAGTAAATAGATAATAGTAAGAAAATAGACTAATCATTCATACATGTTATCATTATGTGGTATGCTTTGATGTTACACCTGCTACAATTAAAATAGTATATAATGAGCACTAAGACAATAAAGATTTGCTGCATGCTGGACATGACAGTCCCCCATATCTGATTTCCTTCACCGTCATGTTCCAGGTTAGGACTCACTAGAAGTCCACACTTTCTGTCGTTATAGTTTTCCTTTTCTTGAATTTTAAATAAATTTAAAATTTAAATAATAAAAAGTTAACTAGAACTTTAAGTAAGTGGAGTCACATAGCACTCTTTTTTGCTAGGCTTCTTTCACTCAATTTTTATGAGATTAATATTGTGTGTATCACTATTCTTTCTTCCTTTTTTTTCTGATTGTTATTTTATTGTGGGGATAAACCACAATTTGTCTTCACCTGTTGATTGACATTTGGGGTTTTTCCCTGTTTGGGCCTACTACAAATAAAGCTACTAAGAATGGTTATGTAAGAGTATTTTTGTGGTCATATGCTTTATTTTCTTTTGGGTAAATACCCAGGGGTTGAATGACTAAATTTTATTGTAATAGTATAACTTTTAAAGAAACTGGTGAACTTTCTCTAAAGTGGATGGACATACCATTTTACATTCCCACGGGCAGTGTATGAAAGTTACAGTTTCTCCACATCCTTGCCCATTTGGTAGGCAGGCATTCTAATACAGAATAGTGATAATTCATTGTAGTACTTCCAATGATTAATGATGTTGACTCTCTTCTTGTGTGAATATTTGCCATCCGTGTATCTCATTTGGTTAAGTATTCAGTTCAAATTATTTGCCCCCTCCACCCCATTTTTGGGGGTTGGGTGGTGAAAATAACATTGTTTCTGGCTGATTTGTAGAACCAAGGGCCCTAGTATTCCCTGTGGGGCTAGATTGAGAAGGGAGGAGAAAGAACTATCTATCTGTACGACAATTGGCTGGAAGATGACAGCTTAAACTGAGAAAAGAAACAGTGAAGGCAGGGTTTGGGATAGCAGTTGGGCACTAATAATCAGCCATCAGGGTCAGCGAATCACCAGGGTGTGCTCAGGTCTCGGAACAACTTTGTGAGCTCTGTTAAGAACATGGATCTGCAAGAAGATGTGGAACATATACACAATGGAATATTACTCAGTAATCAAAAAAGATAAACACATGCAGTTTGCAGCAACATGGATGGAGCTAGAAGGGATCATGCTCAGTGAAATAAGTCAGAAAGAAAAAGAAAAATACCGGATGGTCTCACTCATAGCAGGAATTTGGAAAACCTAAATAAGGGACCAGGAAAAAGACTGATTAATACAAAATAAAAATCAAAACCAACAAGCAACTATAAAGGGGGGGGGGGGAGAGGAAGGACTAGGGTCAAAATAAGGGGGGGTGCAATTGTATGGGGAATATAACCAAAATGAAAATGCATACATTGTGCAAAAATGAAAAATGATGTAAGAATCATAAAATAAAATATTAATTAAAAAAAAAGAACATGGATCTGTCGCGGTCACGATTGAGCCTGAATAGTCTGAAAGAGGGACGTTTTTTGGGAATTTGTTCTGCCTCGGAGAGCTTAGATGGGAACTCGTGGAATTAATTTTTCACTGTTTTCCCAGGGTCAGAAAAGACAACACTGGGACTGGGGGGTCTGTGACTACCTATGCGCCTGCTGGTCAAAAAAAGCCTAAGTTTGTTTCCGCCCGGTTTCGAACCGGGGACCTTTCGCGTGTGAGGCGAACGTGATAACCACTACACTACGGAAACGCTGCGGCGAGCGCGCTCAGCCACACTTGAAGTGTCTCTCCTGTCCGGGTTCCTGCCCCGACACAGACACTGCAAATTTCGGTGCGCTCCACCCCAGACCCATGCGACCCAACCACCACCTTGAAAAACCGACCTTGGGCCGAGCTCAGGCTTCCTTCAAGGTTTGGCCCGACCTCCCCATCCCGCAGGTCCCGAAGAAACACCGAGGGAGCGGGACCGCCAGGATCATGACACCTGATGCAGCCGCTCCCGGGCTGGGGAAAAGTGGTGCAGTGACCGCAGGCTGGAACAGACAGATGACCGGTTTGGTCAAGATCCGGAAACCTGCTCCTGCCTGAAACAATAAAAATGCACTTGCCTGCACTTAATTTAGAGGGCACTGCACACTCTCGCGTTTAATTGGTGTTTGCAGCACTGCTACAAGGAAAGTCTTTAAAGACACAGAGCTCTGTAACTGTGTCTTGCCTAAACTGGAGCAGCCCGTTAACATCAAGGAGGGTCTGCTACTCTGATATTTCCAGGCCTGTCTGGTCTTGTGTGAGCTTCACTTCATAATCGGAGTAAGCAGGAAGGAGAGAGAAGATACAGGCTGCAGAAGCTGGAGAGAGAATGCAAGACGGGTCCAAGGAGCCTCTGTGAATGGTATGTGGGGGTCTCAAAATTCCTTGACAACCGAGATCAAATAACCTCGTGGTGTGCAGGTGAAATTATCTGGGGAGATAAAGAGTAGGGACAGCTTCTGGGATACCATGTGAGAAAGGTATTTGCAAATTAAAATTAGATGGAGGAAAGAATGACCAAAAACAGCTGTGAAGACTTAACAGGATTTGGAAGATACCAGTGTCTACGGGGCTAAATGGCTCCCTGTTGGGCAACTGCTTCTGGTACTCTAATCTGGCAAGAACCTGGAGGAGAAAGTGTGTGTGGGATGAAAAAGCAACAGAGAAGGGATAGTTAAGGCGAGGAAATAACCTCCTATTCTTCTGGGTTGTTGGGCTGCTCCAGTAGTCAAATTAACATCAGGCGGATTAAAAGTGGGGGGGGGGGAATTATTTACAGACCTAACAGAAACCTGTAGAGATGTGAATCGCAAAGGCAATGAGGCAAACAGGGAGTATATATCCTGAGTTACAGAAGAGGATTGAGGCCTCCAGCTTCAAGGAGAAAGGGGGAGGGAGGCTTACATGATGAGGAGAGAGTAACTCATATGACTAAGACCACATGCTCTGTTATTAGATATTTGACCTGCCATGTAGGTTTGTTTCTGATAGGAAGGTTATTTGTGGTGAAAACAAGACAAAAGTGTAATTTTTGGTAACATTCCCGATGTTTTATTCTTCTAGGTTGTTAAGGGAGTAGTAAGATTTTCTTGTGAGACCAGAAGGCCTTGATTG